CACTTACAGGCTGGGGGGCGACCTCAGCACCACTGCGGTGGAAAGGGATCTTGGAGTCATAGTTGACTCCAAGATGAACATGAGTCAATGTGACGAAGTGATCAACAAGGCTAACCGCACTTTATCATGCATTAGCAGATGCATGACGAACAGGTCCAGGGAAGTGATTTTCCTCTTTGTCTGGCACTGGTCAAGCCTCAGTTGAAGTACTGCGTCCAGTTTTGGGCGCCGCACTTCAAGAGGGACACGGAGAATCTTGAGAGGGGTCAGAGGAGGCCACTCGCGTGGTCAGAGGCCTGCAGGCAAGGACCTACAAAGAGAGACTGGGGGATCTAGATCTCTTCAGACTTTGCAAGAGAAGGCTGAGAGGTGATCTTGCGGCTGCCTATAAATTCATCGGGGAGGGCAGCAGGGAATAGGAGATGCTCTATTTACTAGGGCACCCCTTGGAGTAACTAGGAGCAGTGGCCACAAATTGATGGAGAGCAGATTTAGGTTGGACATTAGAAAGAACGTATTCACGGGGAGGGTTGCCAGAACCTAGAACGGGCCCCCAAGGGAGGTGGTGCTCTCCCCTTCCCTGGGGGTCTTCAAGAGGAGACTGGACAAGCACCTAGCTGCAGTTGCCTGACCCCAGCACCCTTTGCCAAGGGCAGGGGGGTCAGACTTGATGACCTACTGAGGTCCCTTCCAACCCTAACATCTATGAATCTATGATTTGCAGAACAGCCCAGTGCCCAGTAGGTCCCTCTGCAATGTCTCCAGCCCAACGGGGTGCCAAGCCCTGCAGAAAATGTGTCCCCCTCAGACCTGACATTGCCCCATCATAACCAGCCTGGGCCCCTGGGGACCAAAAGCAAAGGCTGTGTTGGAGATTCAGGCCTTCAGTGTCCCAGACTGAGCCGCACAGTCTAGTGGAAGGTTTGCTGCATGGAAACAAAATGCCCAAAGCCCACACCCTCAAGAGCTGGGCACTGTGTGTGCTAGGCTCAGCCACACATGCCACTGTCCTAGGGCAACACCCTTGTGTAATGCAGCTGGGCTCTGTGGCTTACGCTGGTTTGACACGGGGGCAAGCTGCACTGATGTGAGTCACACGGTGCCGTCCGGGAACTGGATCTGTACGAGAGGCGGCTCTTTCCGGCCATGCTGAGTACAGCGGGGTGGAGGGATCTCAGCACAGTGCAGCTGTCAAAGGTGCACTCTCTGGGAGGGGGAGAGAGGAAAGAACAAGAACAGCCCCATAAATTTCGGTGTGTGGACATTTTAATTGGGCCCCCTTGCCATGTGTCAGGTGGGTTCATGCTCAGCTGGAGGAAGCAGCTGGGTTTACACGGTGCATGAAGTTGTAAAGATAATGGGCCCAGAATAGCCACATACCTTGCAGGGCAGGCAGCGATAGGCATCCTGGCCATTTCTCTACTGCTATTTTTACCCTCATCCCACTTCCGCTCCCAGCAGGATTATATATAGCAGCTCAACAGAGCTACAGCGTGGGTAGGTGCAGTGAGGGGAAGAGCTCTGGGCGGCACTTTCTGCAGCTCATGATTTCCCAGCACTCAGGTGCTTGTTTCTCTTGAGCCCATGTGCAAGGTGGGAGGGAGAGTGGGGGAGAGACGGGGGCAGGTCCTACCCCATCCCCCTTTCAGCACTTATCCTTTCCCCTTCCCTGACTGCCCTGGAGTCCAGGCTCTTGCAATGAGTCCCTCTGGCAGCAACGCAGCAGAGCATAGTCATAGACAAGGGGGCATGAATCCATGCTACAGGGCACCAGCTGGCCTGGGCATGATGGAGACCAGGAAGGCACTTCCCTTGTGGGCAGGTGGCCCTGTAGCTGCAGGGTGCCTTGCAACTACCTTGGACCTTCTGGTACCGAGAGTGTGGCACTTCCTTCTGATGGCTGCACAGAAGAGAGACTCTGGGGAAAATCGACCTGGAAACAATTAAACGCTTTGTTGGTGTTTCATTTTATTGATATCAATATATTACACTATAAATATATGTATGTTGCTGTGTAATATCTGTCGTTGCAATATAATTAATATGGTAAACATTCAGCACGAGAAAGCCAAGCCCATATGTCTTACCTACATATAAATAATTAAATGCTTCAGCATTTTTAAAGCAAATGAGAAAATCAAATGGGTTCATCTGCGCTGTTTGCTATTAGAAATGTCTTCAGGATTGAAAAACCGAAAAGTTTGGATTTTGGTGAAACTGTTTTCTAGTGGCAGGCTGTTCTGCTGGCATTTTGGACTAGCTCCTCCAGGAACTATGGACCCCGGAGAATATTCTCCTCTTCCCACCTGTGGAGGACAAGCCACTATAAGTTGCTGCATATTCCCTGCTGCAGAGCTGGATGCTTGCACTGGGCACCTGCATTACTTAATTTTGCAACTCCTTCACCCGTCTCGCCAGGGAGGGGTGGAAGTCCCTTGGTGGGGTACTTTGGAAGCATCTTGTGGTACTGCTTCCCTGCTGGGAGCAGAAAGCAAGGCTGTTCGTCTCAAGTGCTGTCAGTCCGACATCAGGAGGGTTTGAAGCAGGGTGGGTGTGGTGCCTATTGCTACTGGCATCTAATCTTCCTGAACACGTCATTACCATGAATGATACTGTGATGACGATATCGTAGGTCCCCGTAGTACCACGGATCTCCTGGCACTGTGCACGTGATATATGTGGACAGGGATTGCTGCATGCACAGCTACAATGCAGTCTCCTCCTCTCTGACTCCCAGCCGCAGCCGCAGCCGCAGCCTGGTGCGCAGTTGTGCAGGGCAGAACGACTGTGGTTAGCACAGCTCAGATGCAGGGCTAGGGCCATCCTGGATGTAGAATTAGCATCTCAGTCTTTCAAAGAGTGACTCGGTCTCCAGAGTTGAGGAACGGTGTTTGCCGAGTGGAAACATCCCATCTTCTGTGGGCGCACATGAAAGATAGCAGTACCTGTTGGATGGTAGGTGAGCAAACATCACCTGTTAAAGCACTGTTGAGGCTTCTTGTGGCATCATGGGTTTTCTCTGCAGCTCTCCCATCTTCTGGATGATGACTGGAGCCCCATTCCCTGCAGCCTGGACATATGGCTCAAAGGCTAGGGAGCTTGCACTGAGGCAGCTTCACGCAGGGTCAGTGCCCATGCCTGGCGTGAGACACATCCCACCAGTTCAACTCCTTGGATGCATGTGAACTCTCCATTCATGGGGCTGGGGGACGGGGAGAAGCAGGTTTGCCGGAGACGTGGGCAGATGCACCCTGGCAGTCAAAGAGCTGGGTAAATTCCAAGACCGTCCAAATATCCCAGCCGGGGGCTTGCTCTGGCCACGGGAGGCAGCGTCAGGGAGCGGCGCGGGGCTGATGAGCGAGCAGAATGGGTCTGTGACTGACACATCATCTATTAAGCTTTCGGATGCAGGCATTTTGGCCCCAGCCTCTGCGTTGCCACAGCGACGCGGTGCATTAGCTCCCGGATGCTGCGTCTGATCCCCTTGCTCTGGAACGCGAGAAGCGTTGCTTTGTGCCGATAACCCATCCGAGCGGGGAGGGGGTTTGCACCTGCCTCACCGGGGCGCAGTCATGGGAGAGAGCATGCCGCTACCTGGCTCCAGGGGCGCCAAGGGAGCAGAGCGGGGATGTAGCAGGGCAGGATGCCCGTTCTGCAACCTGGGAGCCAGAGGCTGATTTGCACGTTCAGATTCCTCTGGGGCTGCAGAATGAGAGTAACAGGAAAAGAGATCAGAGCTGTGATGTGGAGCTGTCTTGCCAGGCAGGCTAGAGGAGGGGGGCTTCAGGCCCTGCTGGCAGAAACACCATGGTGGGGGTATTCTCCTTCACACCAGCCCTTTGCCCAGCCACCCCCACACTCCCCATCTAAATGTGTCGTATCAGGGTTAGGGCTGAGAGACGAGGCTCAGGGCAGTGTCTGTCCTGTCCTCAGTCCCTTGCACCGTGACCCGGCCTTCCCTGGCTCTCCAGGGGACCTGGCTGCTAGCTCTGTTTGGAAAAACACAGGCCTGGAGCTTGCAGCTCTGCCCAGTGTGGGGGCGATGGGTTAGGGTGGACCAGCCTCTGGCCAGCAGGGAGGGGGCCTGGCTGATTGATTTTGCCAGCCGGAGTCCTGTGGCCATCGGCAGCAGCTGCTGGGTCTGCTGCCATTCCCCCTCTCCTTGCTGAGCCACTGTATTGACTCCCCTACTATGGCAAAATAATATGGCCTGTGTCCCAACTACAGGGCAGAGTGGGAGCGGGCACGGACGGCTCAGGCTAGAAGCCAGTTCTGTCGTGCTGTCACCGGGACGTGGGATATTCAAGGGGAAGCAGCCCTCTGCCCCCATCCACTGAGCTCATGTTGCTGCTGGGTCACGCTACCTGCTCAGGACCGGCTGGAGCGGCGAGCTGAGACAGAGGGGCATCCGCAGATCACTGTGTGGTGGTGGTCCAGAGCTGGAGGAGTTGTGGGTCAGGACTCCTGCGGTGCGGGGGCTATCCAGGGCTTCAGGAGCAAGGGGGCTGGCTGCATGCTGAAGAGCACGGGCAGAGTTGTGCAGGGTCTGCCCTCTCTCTGGCTCGGGGCCGTGCTGTCCCGTCTGTTTTAGAAGCATCAGCCTTTTGCTAGCACAATGCCCTGGGCAATCAAAACAGCCAGAACGCAGCTGTCTGTGTGAGCAGCTCCCAGACCGCGTCCTATCTGCATTACTGAGCTAGGGAGGGATGCAGCCAGAACCAGGGCAATGGAGGACAAAGCGGCTTGTAGCATTTGTGATAAGCAGCGCTGCAGCTGGGCTCTGCAGTCGCATCCCAACAACACCCTCACTCTTTGTCCCTCCGGGTTCTCGTCTTTGGGCCTGATGTCCGTGAGGGTGGGGTGCTCCTGACTGCAAACAGTGCTCCAGATGCTTGGGATTCAGAAAGCCAGGCCCTTCGAGCCCAGCTCCAGGCAGAGCTGGCAGTCCCACAGGCAAGCCATGCCCTTCGTCATGCCCCCTCTCTCTTGTCTCCCCGCAGGGCCCTGCCATCCCCCTGCAGTGCCGGAGAAAATGAACAAGATGAAAAACTTCAAGAGGAGGTTTTCCCTCTCGGTTCCCCGGACAGAGACCATCGAGGAGTCGCTGACCGAGTTCACGGAGCAGTTCAACCAGCTCAACAACAGGAAGAATGAAGGTGAGAGGCCGTCGGGTTCAGGACGACTGCTCCAGCGTGGCCAGCATCCCCTCCAGGCAGAGATAGTCAGGGCCAGCGGGTGCACAGTCTGGGCGTCCCTCCACCTCAGTCCACCTGGCTCCCAGCTGCCTCGAAACGCCCAGAGGCAGCACAAATGCAAACTGGCGGTGTGTGGCCTTGGGTGAGTCACCGCTCTGCTCCGTGCCTCAGTCTCCCCATCTGTGTAATGGGGGTAACCCTTCCCTGTGTGGGGAATGCCTCAGGGGAAAGGCACTGCACAAAGTGCAGAGGAAGGTTATTTATCACCCAAGCCAAGAGCAAAAATGGGGGAGGAACGACCATGCTGTGGCTAAGACGGCGGTTTCTGAGCGCCTGGGACCCCCAGCCCTGTGGACAAAGAGGCTGAGCAACCTTCTTCAAAGCTGGCTTTCCTCACTGCTGCAGCCTCATGTCCCTGCAGGTCCAGCCTCTGACACTTGTGCAAGCAGGGACATGGCCACCCTGGTCCCCCACGGGGCTGTAATCAGACACAGCCCTTAATTAGGTGTACAGAAGCCGAGGGGATGGAGCAGCAGGAGGCTCAGTGCTGGCCTCAGTCAGCAGCTGCTGCCGTGCCTTCCTCAGGGAACGTCAGCCCTGGGCTCATTATCACTGCAGCGCGAGCCCAGGCTGTGTCATGTAATGAGGCAGCTTCCCCGTTCCCTCCCTTTAATGAGATCTCGGCCTGTCTCTGCCTGACCGCCTCCCCTTCCATTTACAAACCACGTCTGCGGCATCCTCCGCACGCTGTCTGCCCTCTCCCGGGGATCTCTGCTCCGGGTGGGACCTGGACGGAGCGGTAGCAAGTGCCGAGCTCAGTTTGCCATGCTCTGGAGTTGGTGACCCTCTTGGGGACCCCCAGTGTAGACCCAGGGGCAGCAGAAGGACCCGGGCCCAGACCCAGGCCCAGGTCGTGTCACTGTCTGCCAAAGGTGGCAGCCCCCAGGTGGGCCTGGTATCAAGTCCTGGGCTGGGTCTGTGCCCATCCGGGGGTGACATGAGACTTGCTTCAGGTGCAGGGGGTGTCTGTGCCTCCAGAGAGGGCAGAACTGAGTGGGACAGAGCCCAGCACCGGGAGGGAGACTTCCTTCCCCAGCAGATCCTGCTACTAAGCTGCCTTTTACCTCCCCGGTCAATCCCTCGTCCTGCCGCCTGGTGTGCTCTGATTGTCTTCATCGTATGTCCGGTCCGGTTTCTGTATGGTCTGTCCCAATATTCTGCTTCTGGTGTTGGTGTTGCCAAGTCTTGTGGGGTGCATTGCGGTGCTAAGGGCATCTCAGGGGGCCCCTCCACTGTCCATGGCTGCGCCAAGCGTTGTCGGTTTGTGCTTCCCCGGAGCCTGCTCCTTTTCAGCCCAGATCTCTTGATTCAGTCTCTCATGGGTCATAAACAGGTCGGCAAAGTCACCTCCCCGCTGCCTTTACCCTCCTTCTCCTGCAAAGCCGCGACTGTTGTTTATTAAGAGCCCTGACAGCTGCATTTCTCTGTTGCGTCTCTTCAGCCCTCCACAGATGGCATTTCATAAACCCCTGGCTGCTGGGAGCTCCTTGCTGCAGCAGCGGGCCAGACTGCCTGGGCAGAGCATTAGCAAGTGGAAGAGGGTCAGCACAGGTACCAAGAGACCTTGCAGCCTGCAGGCGTGACTTGAAGCCCATTGAAGGCAATAGTTACCTTCCCGGTGGTCCTTAGATGTCGGAGTTAGTGCATGTTGAGGTTCAGAAAGGAGTGTGCATTGCTGGAGGGGAACAGGACAGCATTACATCACTAATTAGTCTTGCTAAGAAGTGGGGTTTGCAAGCAGGAAATAGGTCAGGAAGCTGCATCTAGAACATGCCCCAAATGGCTGGACCACTAAACGCTGCCTGGGTTTGAGTTTGGATGTGAATTCTCCTTGGTCACGTTGCATAGCTCTACAGAGGGGTTATATAATGCCACCAGTGAAGACTGGGTCTCAGAGTTCACAGTGTGAGTGCATTGCTGTCCTGTTCTTTAAATGGGGTACATCTTAGCCGAAGCACGTGTACTGCCAGGTCTGCCTACAGAGGCATTTTCCTTTATGTTTTTTGCATTGTTCCGCTTTGCATTGAGCCCCTTATCAGCTGGCTCGAAGGAGGGGGAAGGGAGCCTGGAGGCCCCGTGGCTGCCCTGCGTGAGCTGCAGCTGGGGGGCGAGCCAGTGACACACAACAGAACGGCTGGACAAGAAGATGCCTTGAGGTCTGTTCTCAAGAGGCTGCATCAGGCAGTCAGAGCCGCGGCAGCCTGGGTCTTGGGGCACTTTGCATTGAGCCCCTTATCAGCTGGCTCGAAGGAGGGGGAAGGGAGCCTGGAGGCCCCGTGGCTGCCCTGCGTGAGCTGCAGCTGGGGGGCGAGCCAGTGACACACAACAGAACGGCTGGACAAGAAGATGCCTTGAGGTCTGTTCTCAAGAGGCTGCATCAGGCAGTCAGAGCCGCGGCAGCCTGGGGCTTGGGGCACTAGGGCTTCTCCTGGAGCAGGCAAAAATCTTGCCAGGAGCTTGTTGGCACAGTAGGAAGCCCCAGCAGCTTTCTCCTTCCTGCCTTCGCTCCTGACCCCGAGGCCAGTAAGGAAAGGAGTGAAAGAAACAGAGCTGACAAGTGGAAAAGCAAACAGCTTCCCCCACTGGGTACACCCAGTCCCAGACAATGTCACCCAGCGCCGTCCAACGGTGCCAGGGAGGGAAGAGGCAGCTGGGCCGTGTGTGATATCCTGAGTGCCCTGCAGGAGGGACATCCAGAACTCCTCCATCCCACAGCGGCCCCTCCGCAGCCCTGCTGGAGAGCTTGCTAGTCCAGAAGCCCTCCCAAGAGACACATCAAGGCACCCAGACATGGCAGCAGTGCCTGGTGCCAGCTCCTCACATTGCCCTGCCCCAGCACGCAGATACAGGCAGGTGTCGGACTGGGCCAGGCTGGGGGAACAGTTCCTGTCCCTGGCATGTGATTCAAAACCTAAGTGTTTGGCTGAGATAGCATGGCTTGGACCTCAGGGTTGCAACAAGGACCTCCACATGGTGCACAAAAGGGAAGTGGAGGAGGTGACATCTGCCTGAGTCTGCAGCCAGCCTAAAACCGTAGCTCTGGGAGAGATCTACACTGGGATATTGCCTCTGAAGTCTGGTGGTGCCTATTGAATGTCAGCCTAGTTAACTGGTTTTCAGGCACGAAAGGAGTAGGAGCATAGCAGGAAGGCCAGCTCAGTGCTGGGCAAGGCATCCTAGCTGGTGCCCTGGTACCTGAAGCCTGGGTTGTAGGCAGAGCTGTCCAGGTCCCAACACTTACTTTTCCCCCAGTCTGATGCCCGGGGGCAACAGTGCA